AAACGTCCCTCAAAACAATTGTGTGCAAGTCACTGTTGTGTATAGAAATCTCACAGTCGCCGACCAACCTATGGCAACTAACACTGGTGGCTAGGTTGCACTTAAATCGTAGTAGTAAGCTCAAAAACGTGAAACTCACCCTCAGAAATACTCTCTGTCTTTTACACTCAGGAGCTAATGCTCCCTGTGGAATCTGCAAGCGCACTTTGTATTCAGGGAGTTCCAAGGGCACCCACCTTCGTAACCAATTCCCCAGCGCATTCGGCTAAAATTGTTTTCGAAATTGAAAAAGCGGCGGTGGAGACAACGAACGTGCACCAGTCACCCGTGTCCGCGTCCTAGAACGGGCGTGTGCAGATGATATTTTTTTCTGGACCTGACGCCAACACGAAGGAGGGAGACAAACTGGTTCGCCTCGTCTTGTTAACCCCCCTGATTTTGGGAGCTTCCCGAGTCCAATACCATCGTGCTCTTCTGTTTGCCGGAGTTGCAAGAAGGGATCCTCGATTGATGTCCGGCCCACTTAAAGCGACATAGAGCGGCATGCAAATTTATCTTTGCACTCTTACCTTGCTCCCCTTTTGTGCTCAATGTCACCCTGAGTTTAATGTGTTACATGGTTTGATCGTCCGTAAATCCGATCAGAGTTGAATTGTGCTCTTCGTGGGTCTGTGGCACGGAGATGAAGGGTCCGCTGCTTCGGAATGGGTATTACTGCTTTCGTGTACGCGAATATTGCTGACGGTCTGGTACGCCTGGCGCCCAATCCACCCGTGAAACTCTGATTAAACCACGCTACGGTAGAGAATGGGTAAGTACCAGTTCAGGACGTGTTCAACTTATAAATCAATGAACAGACTATTTCTAGCGACTGGTGATCTCCCCATCTTTTCGTCCCAGCCTACAACAATTTGTGAATGCGTTTCCACTCGACACTGTATGTACTACTTTTGGGCCGTTTGTTCGTGTCTAGACTCGGTCCTTGTGATACTACGTCCGATGCTCGGGTGAGTTTGTCAGCCATTCATATCTGAGTCTGTGTTCTATAGCTGGGTCGGTCCTTGTTGTGTGTGTCCGGCCTGAAGCCCGGTATAGTTATAGCCACACAGCCTTAGTGGCCGTAACGGGGTGTTGGTGGCTTTTTCCTCCCGTTTAGCCCCCTATTAGGAGCCTTTGGGACGTTTCCCCGCCAGAATACGTAACGCAGAACGTCAAGGGGCAGTAGGCAGTGGCAGCACGTTATGCGCATGGATTTGTGCTCCTTGGTTAGGACGGTGTAGGCATCGCACCAGGACTTCAGCCCCCGCACAACATTATAAGGAACCAAGTAGCGAATCTTGAAGGAACAGCGCTATGTGTTCGTGCCGTGACGTGCGGCACAAGATTTTTACCCACGTGTTAGTGTACCATTTAGCTGGTTGGGTAATGGACCGGGCACGCGATTGCCGACCTTCATTTCAAACGGACTCGACATGTTCGCCTCAAGTGAAAGTGGAATTTTGCCGAGAAATTCCTCGGCAGATTAGCATTATTTGTGGTACCGAAAAGTTATCTGTGGGTGATACCCAACAACTAGTCACGCGCGACAACCCTGTGGCTGTTGGGTCACATATGACGAATGTTAGTCTTCAATGAGGGGTAAGTCTCTATTGGGTTTAACTTTAAGCAAGCGCGTGATTCTAATAACCGGCCGGTTTGCGGCTTGGCAAGCCTACTTACTGATATGTTATCGCATGCCTTCTTGATTCCCTCAGGTTTAGTGTGGTGCCGGGCCAGCCGGACTCCTCGATCGATTACTACGTTACTCCCGATGTTGCGAAAGATATACCTAGAATTCATCTTCACTTTTCGCATGAAGGCTGGTGCCGGTATTGCGGTTTTGTTGCCTATCCTGATTCCAATATTCTTCCTCTGGCCGGAAAGAGATCTTATCCTCTGTGTTACTACCTGTTTCATGTACTTTTGGGGGGGTCTAGTTCCCCCCCCTCAGCCTCAAAAAAGCGTTCTTGTGTGTAGTTTACTCCTTAATTCAATCACGCGCATCCCTACACAAAGGCTTGCGCCCTTACTCCCCTGACCATCTTGAGAAGATAATCATCTGGTACACTTGTATACACACGCTTTATCTGGAGAAAAGAAAAGTTGCCACTTGCCAGGCTATCGCAGATACAATAGTACCACAGTCGTTACACAGAAACACCTTATAACTCCCTTCCCTTCCGACACAACTTGGAAATTCTGGATAGGCCCATGTTTGTATACGGCGAGTGGAGTCCACGAAAGATTTGAGAGGAAATCACTGGATGTTGCTGGCCCTTGTTTTGCCTATAATGAATTCGCTTTCTACCTTAAATAGACTGCTCGTCCTATAAACCATTCGACCACCTGCGGCCCGCCTGCTGGACTTTATTTCCTGTGAATTATACCCCAGCAGTGTGGATAATGGAGCAGCCGTAATAGTAGCAGTGGTGTCGCATTGATCGGTGAGCTCTTCAGACCCTTTGGACCACACAGCACAGCAGCGTGGGGGACAAGTCAAGGGCCAAAGACGGCGAGACTGAGGTGCGTGTGTAACTTTTAGGCACAGGATCGCCACGGCCTAACCACACACTCTTGGTAGTCTGCTTTGCGAATTACATGTGCTGACGATTAGCAACGGGACTGAATGGAGGGGAGGGGAGATTTTGACACACCTCGGTGTTGGGTCTGGTCTGCGACACCGATAACATTCGTACGTGAAAGAGATATTGGGTCAGTTCGTCACTGGAGTCCGTAACTGATGATAAACACGATAGGAGACCGGGTGTCGACCGCCCGAACCACTGCACTGCAACGACTAGATGTTCGGAAACATACTTGAATCGCTTCAGATAGAGGTTGTAGGTGTTGTGTCGAACCCTCGGGACACTGGATTAGGAATGTTGGCCAATATGCGTCACTATTGCTCCGTGCATCGAAGTTAACCCATGGCCCAACTTATTGCAAATCACAGTCCACACTGAGTAGACCACGCGTCGCCCCGCAATACATTGCACATTAACTTAGTGCAATAAAGTGTTCTCTCCAATCATACCAGATTACGCAATTGCGACTCCGCGCTTGCCTAGCGTCCGTGACTTCATGGCTGTAAAGGCATACTGTCGCGTAAAACATTTTTATGGTTATCCTTGAAGGTTTGGGGCGTGTTCCAGTTGTGTGCTGATTGCCGCTAAATTTATTAAGGACAGTCCACGTCCCGATACCCACGAAATCCCCGACCCATCAAGCTATGACTTTGGCTCCCCGAAGGTGCAATAAAAGCCCGAAACTCTCGATAATCATCGTATTACGCCGGAAGTTGGTCAACCACTTTTCTAGCATGGGGGCGGAGTTCGGAATAAGGCCTCGATCCTGACATAACGTGTCAATTGGCTATGTTATAAAAACATGGCTACCCTGCCTTTGTCTGTGGCCCAAAGCCTATGCAATCATAATCCTGAATATGCATGGGATAAGCTTTTATCTAAATAGTCATTTTTTGGGTTGTAGCTGGTGACGTTACGATTGTTCGCCAGGATCTTGCCGCTCGGCAGCAGGGAAGATAATACAACACCTAAGCCAATATTCCAAATAGGTAGACCAAGTCCTGCACGAGATACGATTCAAGGAAGGTGCTCTCTTGTTTTTGACTGGTTTATCATCGACATCCTCGATCGTCCATCAAAACACCGTAAACCGTAATGTAATTCACCGAGAAGGACATAAGTATCCGTAATTCTGATCCCTGAAAAATTTATCTCTAGCGGCCCTCGCTGTCGTATGATGCGGACCTGCAAGCACTGGATAAATCAATCGCGTCATTAAAAAACTGGCAAGTGCATATGTTTATCGCGGTGCAGCGTTGC